CAGGGAATGGTAGAAGGTAGCATTTATTGGTGCATTTTTAAAGTTTAAAGGCTTTCATTTGTTACCACTTTCTTGTTCTGTTGTTCATGAAGCAAGATGTTAGCTTGCAATGTTGAGCTACAAAGCTATCTTATATATTTGCATAGAGATGGTTAAAATATTTGGTATTTCAGTTTAGAACTATGTATTTTGGGGTTAATTACAGTAAGCACCCCTGTAATATGGCTCAATTGCAAATACACCTCCTTTATTTTGAAATCAAACACTCACCCCCTACACTACTGTAATCCTACACCAATATAATGTTGTTATCCCTATTTTTCAGACAATTTAAACCCCTTGTATGAATAACTTGTTCTGCGTGTCTTCCTTGGCTGTGGCAATTGATTTTGTTCTGCTATTGATAAAAGAATAATTGTTTCTAGAATAGAAATTTCAATTCTTGAAGACTGAAAACGGATTATTGTTCGGAAGTTAATCTGGGGAAGATATGGCGAATGCTACAGCCTACAAGGAATCAGCTGGATCGATTGTAACTGAACCATCTTTTCTTTTTGGTTCTCTAATTTTCTGTATTTAAGTGATTATTACAGAGGTACAATGATACCTCACTGTCCAAACGGTCCATAACTGTTACAGCGCTGTCATTTTCCTAGTGCCCTATGTCAATCAGACTCTTCATTTATTTCTTGTTATTCATGTCAAATGTTTAGTAAGTGGATATAGATATATTAGTTAGCTCCTCACAGTACATTTGAAATCTTGCTAGAATCTTGGCGTACCTTTGTCCAAACGAACCTGTCCACATGAGAGGAGTACGGCCACCTTGTCCCTCAAATCCATCACAGCCACAGCCAGAATTGGCACCTTTATTTTCTTGATATTAAGTAATTACAACATAACATTTTCACGTGAAGTTCTTACTGCTCCCTTATGTACTTATCAAAAAACTGCTCCCTTTATGCTAACAATTTCTTTTGTTCTCTAACTTTAATAACCCTGAAGAATTTTAGCGATGCTGCAATAAAAATTCTACCCCATAAGATTTTAGGCAGTTAATTGGGGTTGGTGATAGGGATAGGTGCATCGGATTTGCCCTGCCTTGCACTGCAAGGAGATAGTTGACAACTGATCTGGCAGCGGCATCCATTTCTGCTCCCCTTTCCTTTATTTTCCATCGTTTATATAGAATTTCCTTTTATTCCTCTCCTTCCTTTCTCAGGATCATTAAGGAAGTGGTAATCACCTTTCCTTCGTCCTACTTCATTTCATTGAAGTTTTGGATTAAAGTAACAACGAAAGGTGTCTTCTAGTATAAGTACCTTTGTGATATGGGAAAAGAAATGCGCCTTGTCAAAGAAGGGAATGGAAAACAGACAGTGTACAGGAGGGTGAACCCGAATACTTACTTTTACTAGGGGGAAAATCCAGACATCTGTACTATTTTCCGGGGGGAGGGGGATGTAGAACTGTAGATTTTGTTCCCGTCTGCTGAACATTAGCCGTCCTGTTGAGTATAAAAATTGTTGCTCATATTTTCCCTTTTTCAAATTGTTTGATAAGTGCATTGTAGAAATGCCAATGTTAAAAGGTTATACAAGATTAAAATTATCACATCCAATAGAAGATATGGATAACGCAATAGAGGTTAAATTGAGAGGTCTCTCGAGATGATGCGGTCATGTTGTAAGTGGACCTCTAAATGCACCATCTTTTGGTGTAAAACCATGTATATTGAAGTTGTTAAAACTTAAAAAGCGATGGGTAGACTTAGGATCACGTGGAAAAAATTGCCTCAAATATCTGTGAATGCAAGCAGATTTTACAAAATATTGAACACAATGAAGGGGAACTTAGTGCAACGTTTTACTTGTCTACGTGTGACCTATAGATCATGGGTTCGAGGCGTGGACTCAGTCACTGACGCTTGCGAACCTCTATAACATCCCTCTGAGGTGCTGCCTTCCCTGCGTGGTTGCGGGATGCTTCGTGCACCGGTCTTTTGTTTAATGGAAGCAAAAGATCCATGTAGGCGATACCAACTAGTTTGATTTATGGTTGGTACACTTGCATTGATTCCAGTATTGCAATGAGTTTTTCTATTTAGAGATTCGTATATAGTAGAAAAATATAGAGAACCTTCAGTTTTTGAGAAACCCCAAGTTATTGAGTATTTCGATGTTAGGGGTTTAAATGGAGCGAAATGGATAATGAGGATTTATATAACCAACTAAACTAGCTTAGAATGGAGGCATATTTGTTGTAATCTTTTAATAAGAAATGCTACTGCTGATTAATAGTAGCCCAATTGTTTTCCATGTATATTAGGATGTATTGGGCTCTACTAGCACTGCATTCTGATTTTGTCATCTGTTCCTGTGGCATGATAGCTTACCTTTTCTTTTATGTTGTCTACGTACTATACTCATCTTGATAGACATGTTTAGTCTGTTTTTCCTTCTTGAGCGCACTGTTTCTTTTTTCTTGGAGTGTGAGAATGGAAGGGACCCAAGGGTGTGGCCTAGTGGTTAATGAAGTACGGGGAGAATCATGAAGCTTCATGTTTAATTCCTAGTGGAGGCAAGAAATAGTAGGTGGTTTCTTCCCATCTGCCTAACCTTGGTGGGCAGAGTTATAATATCTGGTGCCTGTGTTGGTGGGAGCTACCAGGTACCCGGTGGAATAATCGAGTTGCGCACATGTTGACCTAGACATCACCCATATTAGAAAGATGGAAAGGTGGAGTTTGTATTCTGTGCCATGAAGTTATGCTTTTGTGTTGCTACTAAGGTTTACTTTCAATTTTATATGCTTGTTCTAATGTTTACTTCAACTTTCTAATTTTCGTCCGTCACAGGATGGGGAGCACTGAAGCAACCGTTTCACTGGGATCACAGATCTAAATTTTCATGTGATAAAATCGTTGTTACCTGTTTCCACCATAGGCTTTTTTGCCCTTTATCAAGACTATTTGTTTTGCATGACTTTGATTTTCAGAGCAATCTATGGCTAATTATTAATTAGCTCATTTGGCCTTTTTTATTTTGTAACTGTTACTACTGAAACAGAGTTAGATAGCAAAAGGAAAGAAGAAATAATTGCTTTCGTGCAGCTTCTTGTGTTGTGTTCACTCCTTTGCTGATGGAAGTGTTCTGTGGCCAATAAGCTATGAAGAGGTAGAATTTGATGAAATATATCATTTTTTCTTTCTTCATTCCTCCCTTTTCACGCGGACTGTGAAACTCTTGAGTATTTGCTTTGTGGCTAAAAAAGAACTGATGATAATTGGTAACAGATGAAATGTTGACGCTAGTTCCTATAGCGTTCACATGGAGTATACAGGAAATCTTTTCCTAATATGGCGAAAAGGAAATATTTTTATAGTTTATGACATTAGTTTACTATATAGTCCCTCCTTACTGCTCAAAGGAGCAGTAATAGGTAGGGATGATAGGATTTGAACCTGTGACTACCCAATTCAATCGGCATTCGTCATCCTTTTTATTGTTCAAATCTTTGACAACATGAAAATATCATTATTTAAGTCTTTAACAGCATGAAAAAACCAACTCTTTATCTATGCAAGGGATGGAAGGGAATAGCCTTTGGTGTATCGGGGGAGAGAACGGAAAAATACTATATGACCCAATATATCTGACAAGTTGCACTATCGTCAACTCAAGATGCATTTCCTCTCCAGGTTTTTGGAAAGGAACTTTTGAACACCAATAGGCATTTAATGAAAAAAATAACTAGTATTTCACTTTGATATGTCATCAAATGAACAAGGCTTGGCGGGCAAAATTTGTTTCTTGTTTGTCTCTGTATATATGCATTTTTTGATCGATTCAAGGTAAACTAGGAAATATGGCATACTTCTAGAGATAAAAGGACAAATATGTAGTAAATTTACATCATATATTTGTCAATTAACCCATTGCATTTATGACAATGCCCTCGGTGGAAAACCAACTGGATTGTTCAGAAAACTTTTGTTATTCTATTTTCCACTATCAAAAATATTATAGTCGTCGATTTTCTAACAACGTAGGATAAGATTGAAGTGCAAAACTAATTCGTCTGTCGAATAATCTGGAGGGTTATAAGAATTTGTTTCATCAGAGCATGGTTTGAACAATAAGAAGCGAGGCAAATAGCCAATACCATAGGATTCACAATATTCATGAAAGCAAACATGAAGTATTATTATTTATTTATAGCAACGAAACAGAAGTACAACTACTTATTCTGTGTTACAAAGAACCACAATTTATTTTACACGAGAGCAAATATAGTAACATTTTTGTTTTAGAAAACATTCATTAATCCATGACATTGACAAATCTTATTTTCAAATAGAGGAGGTTTCATATCTCATTTGCTTGTTCAATGGCCTTCTGTTTCCGTTGAGTCGGACATGCAAGAACAATCAGGGCAAGGACATTTGATGGTAGGCTATAATCTCGTATTCTAATCGCTTATTGCACTCTAGTTCACTACACTTTAATTGTGTTTGAGCTTCAATTGTTAGTGTATTGCACTTATTGTGTGTTTTATGCCATGTAGGAGCGATTCCGAGTTATGTAGATGTTGTGGAACTAATTCGAGATATTTGGAGCTTTGAAGTCTGAGTATAAGTCTAAGGGATTAAGCCGGGATTGTGTTCGGGGGTCGAGGATCAATTCTGGACGTAAAAATTCAAGGAAGAAGCAACTGCTGAAGAAGTGCACTAGTGCGACACACAGTGCGACGCATTAGTGTAATTTTATGTCAGAAATTTTCAAAGTTCAGAAACTGGGTTTTTTGGTCTGACAGTAAAAAGCACTAGTGCGACGCACGAGGCGACACACAGTGCGACGCATGAAAAGCAATAAGTTTGCAAGTTTTTCTATTTCGGCTAGGAAAGGGAGATTTCGTCTAGGCCCAACCCTACTTGGTATAAATACATGAAAAACCGTTATTTTCTGACTTTGGACACACTTTAGACCTAAGGAGACTATTTTTTAAGGAGAGAAGACGTTGGGAACATTCTTTGGAGGAGAAAATCATCGAATTCTTCATTCCTTCATTTTTTCTTTGTAATTTGTTTATGCAAAATACTTGGAAAGTTGTTACTACGAACATGAGTGGCTAAGCATTCTAGTTTCTAGGGTTGTGATTGACATGATTATTAACGTTTATCAATTACATCTTCGTTAATTCGGATTATCATCTTATAGTTGTTTCTTTAATTCTACTTTTAACTTGTGAATTGTAGTAGCTACCAATTTACCCTACTATCTATGCTATACTTGGAAAAGCCGTATTTAGATTAGAGTAGAATTAAAGAAAGCTTGTTTCTGAACCCGTGGCTCGGGGAACGATTTCACGGTTAGGATAGGAATATATCTAACAATCTTGCTTAGTTAAAAACCGTATTATATTCGTTCGTGATAGACTCAATACCATAGGAATATAGGATTAATATATTGTGAACAGGCGAGTAGTACTGTGGGAACATGCTATTCATATAAACGATCCGGTCAATTAGCAACCTTTGATAATCTGGATTAACAAATGTGGTTATAAAACTTAATAGGATTGATAAACCGACCACAACCCTGGAATCTTCAACTCCTCTAAGTAAAATCCAAAACACCCGTTTGCATCCCTGATAAATTAGTTAATTACTTGTTCAATATTTGCAAAAGTAGTTTAGTAGATAAATAACATTGTTGATTATCTTGGACAGTTAATTGATTTTAGTTTGCTTAGTTAACGATTCATCTAAGTCTCGGTGGGTTCGACATCCGACTTTCGAGTCACTTTATTACTTGACGACCACGTATACTTGCGTGTACTTGGGGAACCAACAAGTTTTTGGCGCCGTTGCTGGGGACTTAGTATTGATTGTTTATTTAAGTTAAGCTTTTATTCATTATTTGTTCAAGTTTTAATTTTTAGTTTGCTTTATTTGTGATAACGCATGCTCTTCTCTTGAATGCGGAGGAGTAGAAGTGCGAACGACCTCCTTCCTCTTGATCCTAAAATAGAACGAATACTTCACAGGGTAAGGAGGGAAGTTGAAGCCAAAACTAGAACAGAAGGAGAGTTAGGCATCGTAGTTCAACCTCAACCACTTGAGATGGCAGGTAATGAAGAGCGACTAGTGATCGAGGCCGTAAGGCCTAATCTTGCTAATATGACTTAGGCTATAGTAAAGCTTGATATCACGGGTCACTTTGAGCTCAAACAGTACATGGTACAGCTGATTCAGTCCACAGGGTAGTATGTGGTCTATCTTATGAAGATCCACAATGACACATTCAGAATTTTTTGGAAATTACGGATACTTATAATTATCCGAATGTTTCCAAAGAATATGTCAGACTGACGTTGTTTCCCTTTTCACTGCTGGGGGAAGCCAAAGAATGGTTGCAGAAGGAGCCCGCAAACTCGATACACAATTGGGATGATCTAGCACGAAAATTCTTAATCAAGTTTTTTTCCACTAAGAAGACAAAGTCGATGAGGAGCCAGATTCTTGGGTTTCAACAACGAGATGGCGAGACTCTTCGTCAAGCTTGGAAAAGATACAAGAAGCTACTCAGAGACTGCCCACATCATTTTCAGACTGGTGAGGTGTTGGGTCACACTTTCGTTGATGGGTTGGACGAGACATCAAAGATAAATCTTGACTCAGTATATGGAGTTGCATGGCAAGACCGTATAGTGAAATCCAGATCCTGCTAAACAATTTCACTACTAATGATAATAATTGGCAAGGAGATGGGGAACCACGAAGAGCACTTAAATAAAAGGCAGCAGGTGTAATTGAGCTTGATGATTTCTCAGCCATGAGGGCAGATATAGCGAGATTAGCAAATCAGATGAATAAAATGACAATGCACAAAGCACAACAGATGCAACATGTGTAATAGATGTCTGCTTGCTGCAAGTTATGTGGTAAAGGTCACACAAGTGACATATGCCCCGTGAATCCTGAATCTATCTACTATGTGGGGCAACAAGCTAGAGGGCCGATGAATCAAAATGCTCAATATGGTAACACATACAATCCGAACTGGAGGAATCATCCTAACTTCTCTTGGGGTGGAAATCAGAATAACATGGCTCAAGCTAATTACAATCATCCACCTAAACTCCCACAGCAAGCAGAAGAGAGTTTGACTAACATAATGAAAAAGCTCTTGATAGACAATCAGAAAGTTATGGCTGAAAATCAACAATTGCACACAGAGTTCAGAAATCTAGAGAGGCAGTATGGGAAAATGGCTAACAATCAGAATATTAGACCTACTGGAGCTCTCCCAAGTGATACAGAGAAAAATCCTCAAGTCAATGCAGTGACGTTGAGAAATGGGAGAGAGTTGGTAGAAGTGCCTAAGAAGAAAAAGAAGTCATCTGGGCTCGAAGAAGAAAGAGTGCCAAAATCTATAGAGGTAGATGAGAGAAACAAAACAGAGTCTGAGCATATATCAGAGAGGGTGCCACCCCCTTTTTCCTCAAAGATTGAGAAAGAAGAATGATGACCACATGTTTTACAAATTTCTAGATATGTTAAAGTAGATACACTTGAACATCCCTTTGGTGGACATGCCCCGTGATGTCCCAAAATATGAAAAATATATTAAGGATATAATGGGAAATAAAAGGAGGTTAACTGAGTTTGAGACTGTCGCACTTACTCAGGAGTGCACTTCCATGATTCAACATAAGTTTCCACAAAAGATTAAGGATCCGGGTAGTTTTACCATCCCCGTGAGGATTGGTGAAATTGATATGGGTAAAGCCTTGTGTGATTTGGGTGCAAGTATCAATCTGATGCCGTTGTTAATGTTCAAACAATTGGGCTTAGGAGCTTCGAGATCCACCACGGTGATGCTACAGTTAGCTGATAGATCTTTTGTTTATCTTGAGGGGGTAATTGAGGACGTCTTGCTACAGATTGGGAAGTTTATTTTCCCTGCAGATTTTATCATCCTGGACTATGAGGCTGATGAGTTAGTTCCTATCATCTTGGGACGACCTCTCTTGGTCACTGGGGATGCAATTATCAAAGTCCGAAAAGGTAAGATGATCATGAGGGTGGACGAAGCAGTCTTCAATAT